CTTAGAATTATTTGGTGGCTTGATAAACGTTACAAGGATAATTGTTTGAATATTATAATTATTGTCATGATCAATATATCTATATTAAAGTGATAATATCAACATAATTCAAGATAATATATCATCGACTAAAAGATCAAAGATATGAATTCCAACACATACATATTGAACTAAAAAAATGTATACTTAGATTAGTGTTCTAAATGTCGGTTGACGGACTCGACATATGGAGGGGAAATCGTTTTTCCCCAAACTAAAACAGCCAGGCCCATAGAAAAAGGCCTAGGTCATACCTACACTGTCAGATTGAACGAGAATAGGAAGAGGGGAGGGAGTTTTATAGGGCCCCTCCCCCGTCATTTCCGAATTTCTAATCATTCAATGATCGTTCATTAGGTATATATATCAATATTTCATATCTTGTTCATGTAATAAAACACTATCAATAAAACACAATTAAGCAACATTGAACTTCAATTTATCAATTCAAATTATTTTCATCAATCTTCATTATCTTATTCCGACATTTCTATCGACATCGACATTTTCATAAGTTACACATATTTTTACATATATATATTTTTTTAGTACAACAAATGGGGGTGGGGGTTCGAACTCATGACTTTTTTTATCATAGATAGCCTTAACCATTTGAGCTATGCTTGGGTTGACTCATATTTTTACATATGATGGTTAGAAGTGATCAATTGTAGCTTAATTAAGCTACAATTAAAGTATTATTTACAAATTAAAATAATTTTTATTATTTTTCACAATTTCCGTAATTTTTCTCCAAATATTCGTCGACATCCACATGTTCATCGATATGTCCGTAAAATTGAGACCTCGACATTTCTATCCACATCGACATTTTGAACCATGATTGAGAGTAAGGTCAAAATGTCTATTCAGTACCCAAACTTGAAAAAATAATCATTTTCTTGTTTATGTCACTATTTTCCCATGGATTCATTATTCATAGATTCACGCACGAGAGCCACTTAAATGGGGCTAAGGTGATAAAGTTGGCAAAATAATAACAATGACTAAAATAATTATTTTTTTTAATATTTTAAAGACTAAAATAGAAATTTTTGAATTTATAAACTAAAATGAAATAAATCTAATATTTCATCAACCAAAAAATAGTTTTAAACCTTCATGATTAATTAATAATAATAATAATAATAATAATAATAAACCTAGTTGTATTCTTGAAGTTATAACTTAAAAGTGGAAAAACAAATATAACATTAAAATTAAGAAGTAATCTTAACAACAAAAATGTTGTATAGAAAATATACAGAACTGAAAATTTTATAAACACCAAAATGTTAATACAAATTAATAATGTAATTTTATTCATATATTATGACCTTTTTTTTTTGTCAATACTACGTGAAGGTAAAAATTCGAATTTTTCTATTAAAATATATCTTAACTAATTGAGCTAATTCTTATCACATTTTTTATATCAGTATAATACCACACTTTTTCATATCAAGTTATTTTATAATGAAAACTTAGTTAAATAAATTGTTATAATAGAAAGAATATAAAATTTATGCTTTCCTTAAAAAAAATTAGAAAAAATATATATAAAGAAGAAGTTAACAACCTATAATGAAAATGATATATTTTGGTACTAAGAAAAATGTTATATTTTGAGTGGGCTGGGCTTCATTTTCTTAAGAATTGGGCTAGCTAGTTGAAAATCTCATTGCAACCTCTTACCTGCTAAAATTCCAGCCTCTTATAGTTTTCTTTGTTTTTTTCTTTTTTTAGTACATCAAGGAAGGGCGAGAGTTTTGAACTCACGACCTTCTGGTCGAACATAGGTGCTTTAACCTATTGAGCATAATTCAAGTTGGCGAGCCTCTTATAGTTATTTAGGAAAAAAAAAACTATTATAATAATATAAGCTAAATAAGTAGTTTTTACTTATTAGTAATGTATGGCTAGAAAACAATTCTAAAAATAGAGTTGTTTTTTAGAAGAAAAATAGAGTATTTTTTTAGTACAACAATTTTGTCTATTTAAGGATATAAGAGATCAAATCTCCGATTAATAAAAATATAATAGTTTTTAAAGTAATATTAAATATAAGGTAAATTAAACAGAAGTATTCGAGGGTATATGGAGAAACTATGGACAAAAATAAGATAATTTTTGCCATAAATCGTGCAAGGTGATTTACTAAAAAAAAAAAAGAAAATACTTTTTTATTCACATTTTATGCAAATTTATTATTCATTTAAAAAAATTACAAAAATGATTTTAATATTTTTTTAATTTATGTTGTCAGCCATATTTTATTTAAAGAATTATATCTATAAATTATTTACAAATATTAATATTAAAAATATTATATTATGATTTTTTTTCTTTAAATTGGATTTTCTTTTCTTGATGAAATTTTAACATTCACAGCCGCATGTATGTATATATATATATATTTAAATAATTGTATCTATAAAGTTTCTACAAATATGAAATATTAGCAAACGTTTGATATTATAGTTTTTTTATTTGATTTTTTTCTTAATATAAAAAATAAATAAATGCGCATAAAAAATGGTATAAATTTTTTAAATAATGTATTAAAAATTGAAAAAATATATATCTATTTTTTTCCTTTTAACATCTTCTTGATGAGCCTCCGACCCATGGATGAGTTAAGCGGTGAATGAGTTAAATGAGTTGAACAAATTAATCGTGGAAGTCTTTTTTTTTTTTTGAGTTAAACAACATGTGAGAGTAATGATTCGAACTTCTAACCTTTTGGTCGAAGATATATGTCTTAACCAGTTGAATTATGTTCGAGTTCACATCGTAGAAAGACTTTTAATTTAACCTATTACTTAAAATAATGAATAATTAAATATATCAAATGAGTGATGGTCCAAAAGTTTGACACACAATCAAACATTGGATTGCATATGAATATGAATATTTCTTTTTTTTGTTTTTTTTGATTTCCTATGAATATTCCTCTTGAAGTTTAGGCATCTTATAGTTGGACTATATATAGTTGTATTGGAATTTCCTCCTTGAATATTAATTGTCGTAAATTTTATGGGTTGTTGTAAACATGGGATAATTTAATATTGCAAAAATACCAACTAAAAATACTTTTGAATATAGTATAATACAGGTAAATAATTTTTGTGATGTATCTAAGTTAATCAATGCCTACCCACATAAAATTGTTACTATTATTTAATTAATGATTTACTAGTTTTTAGAAAATAGCCATATTTATACAATTTTTTTTATGAAAAGAATGCTATATTTGCAATTAAATACACATTTGTTAATATATTTGGTAAGAGAAGCTACACATTAAAAATTTCCTAAATTCTTTGTCAAACAAAAAAAAAGAACAGAAAATATTCCTAAATTTTCATATTATATGGTCTATATATGTAAATAAATGGTTTGGTTTTAGAGTGTAATTGTAACCATGTATATTTCAATATATATATATAGTTTAGCCATTTATGAATCATAAATTCCATTTAAATTTTAAGCTGTCTTTTTTTTTTTAAGAATAATTAAAAGTCTCTAATTTATCCTTGTAGTTTGGTTTATATATATATATATATATATATATATATATATATTTTATTACCCAAGAGTCGGCGATCCTTTGGTCTTTATGTCTTTATATTTGGGAATACGTGCATTGTCCCCATACCCGTACATATGCAAGGGATCATTGCTTGACTAGCATTTGGTATTTATATTTTCGCATTTTTAATGTAATGCTCCCTATAATGTAAGTCTCTTCAACGACTATCAGCAACTATGAACACAGTTTAGAAGTCATCTTACTTCTTTCCTAAAAATCGTTATTAATTAATGATAGATATTATTTTTAAGATACTTTAAAATTACGTTAAATTTAAAAAATATTATAACTCACAATGTTAAAAGTTTATACTTCATTTGATAACCATTTTATTTTTATTCTATGCTTTTCAAAACAGGCTTTTAAATACTACTTTTCACTCCGTGTTTCTTAAATATCCATACAAAAATTTTTTAAGCCAAAAAATAGTATTTTGCTAAGAATTAAGTTGTGTTTTTAAGAAATGTGATAAATATCATACTAAATGAATTCTCAAGAAGCAAAGATAATTTTTTAAATAAAAACAACTGAATAAAATTTTTGCCAAACAAGCCTCAAGAATATAATTTCCTTGTAAATATAGTCTAAAGCCCATGAACCTAAATGAAAATTTTGTCAAGATGTTTAGATTTTGTATTACTTCTTACTCTTCTTTAGAAAATATTGTTTTCTTGTATAAATTTGAGGCTATCAATTTCCATGTCTCATGCATATATAGTTTTAAACATATGTTTAGATAGCCCTGATTATAAAAATCTAGGACTCGTTTAGTAACGTTTCCGTTTCTTGTTTCTAATTTTCTTAAGAAATTTAAACATTTTAAGAACAACTATGGACTCGTTTGGTAACATTCCCATTTCTTGTTTTTAGTTTCCAATTTTGTTAAGAAATTTAAGTATTTTTCAACTAATTTTGTTTCTTGTTTCTCCTCTTTTTGGAACATTATCAACAATTGTATAGAAATTTTAGAAACAACAAAAACTAGTTTCTCCTTTCTTATTTTCATTTCCAACTTTCTTGTTCTCATTTCCAATTTGTTCCAAAACATAAATAAAAAGCTTGTTTTATCATACTTGAATTCTTAGAGGTTGGAACCATGCAATACATTTTTCTTCATTAAAAATAAAGAAACAGAAATAAGTAACAGAAACGTTACCAAACGAACCAACGACCGATTAACCTGAGCAAAATTTGATACACAACACAAGTTTTAAGGGATCAAAATGAAAAGTATGAAGCCAACGTGAACTTATCTCAACGGTAATTAACACTTAACACCTGTCTATGACCAAAAGAGGTCATGAGTTGAATCTCTCCACCTCCATTTGTTGGACTAAAAACAACGAAGCGTTCGACAACTCGTTAAAAGTTAAAAGAACTAAAATATGATTTCTCAAAATGTTAGTTGAATATTTTACCAAACTATAATATATCTTTTGCTCTAAACTTTGGGAATGCCAACTTTCACATATTTACAATCAGAATTGTAAGACCTATATCCAAAATCATCACCCACACCTTCCTCCTCCACTTAAACAAAAGAAAGACAATATTAATCCTTAAATGCATCAAAATTCCCTGCCCCCTTATCCTAGTTTCCAAACAAAAAAGGGAAAAAAAAAGATTAAAGATAGAGAGAGATAAGAAAATTTAAAGAAACAAAGAATTATAGAAGAAACCCCATGATTTGTAAGTTCTCCTTCGAATAATTGGTTGATTCCTGAGAAACTTGGCCAGTTTGTGAAGAATTGACCATCTACTCTCTCATTGTTTTGACTGCAATGATCCATCTCTCATCAAGTTCAGACTCAAGCTATTGAACCGCTCTCGAGAGTACTGTCTCGACGCTTTCCTCCAATCCGTTCCCGCCTTCATCATCGTTGCGAATTCCTCGTAGCTTATTCGGCCATCCTGTATGAATACACTCACAATTCAGCCCACTCTTGGAGTATAAAGAATGCCATCGAAATTTCAAAACGACAGCGACGACACTTATCATTTGAGGTTAGAGAAATATTGCAAAAACAGATTAACTGTTTCGGTCACGCCCGGATGTTAGTTATAAGATGTCATTAAAGTCAAACAAGAATCCATATCCACATGTTTCTGTTGAGTAGTAATCAAAGTGTTTAATGGGAAATGTAACTGACCTTATCTGTATCGACATCGTTTATAATGGCATTGATCACTTCTTCGCTGTTTCCATCGATCTCATCAGCTAAGGTACCTCGTAGTTCGTCGATTTCTATATAACCACTCCGGTCTTGATCAAAGAAATCGAATGCTTTTCTTAGATGCTCGTCGTCGTCGCCCATTCTTTTAAGGTGAACAGAAATAGCTACAAATTCTCCACAGTCTAGATATCCATCCTTGTCTACATCACCCTGGGAAAAAAGTAACTTCAAATTACTCCCATGACTTAGATACAGAAACAGAAGAAAGAAAGAAAGAAGTTTTAATTTCACTTACAGCTTCCATCAGAATTTGAAGATCTGTATCCGCAATCTGATGGCCTAATTTATGTAAACCTACTCGTAACTCGTCTATGTTAATTTTTCCTTTATTGTTAGTATCCATCTTATCGAATCCCTCCTTTATCCCAGCAACTTCCTCGACTGACAAGTGCTCAGCAATTACCTGATGAACAGAATCCCGGAGAATACGTGAGAAATGAAAAGAAGGTGTTGGTACCAGAAAACTCGACAAAGATAACGCGGTTGAAAATTATTTGGGTATAAGACAAGTTACCCTTAGAGCTCTTTTCTTCAGCTTGTTCATCACAGAGAATTGCTTGAGTCTTGCCTTCACAGTTTCTCCCAAGGAGACATTAGGAGCTTTCTTCACATTCTGTAACCATGGATGATCTGCATTTTACAATCGACAGACAAAAACAGTCAAGCTAATGGCCTTCTTTTTCACATTTTACCATCTGAAAACAGCTTTATTTCGAGAGGAAGTGAATTCGTTGTGAGGCCAGGACATTACCGAGAACTTCTTGAGCAGTCAGCCGCCGCCTCGGATCAGGATCGAGCATTTTTCTCACGAGGTCTTTTGCATTATCAGAAACTTTCGGCCAAGGGTCTCTCTTGAAATCTATAACCGATCGTATAATTGCCTGTGCAACTCCTTGTTCGGTTTCTGCATAGAATGACAGAAAAGTTTTACAAACTGAAGCAGAATATAAGCTACAAACAAGAACAAATCTAGTTGGAATTGGACAGAAAATTTAAGAGGATGATTGCTCAATACTTACCAGCCCAGAATGGTGGGACACCACAAAGTAAAATGTAAAGAATAACTCCAGCACTCCAGACATCTACTTCGGGGCCATAGTTTCGTTTTAGAACCTCGGGAGCCATGTAGTACGGACTTCCAACAATCTCATTGAATCTTTCGCCTGAAGGAGCCCGGGACGGGCGAGTGGAGTCAGTCATAAACAAGAGAAAGAATATGCTAAAATTGAAAAGCAAAACACTACACCAAAACAAGCAAGGGGACCATCAGAAAGCATACCAGGTTTAAAGAACACTGACAGTCCAAAATCAATTGCCTTCAGTGGTGCATTTTCCTTCTTGTTTCCGAACAAAAAGTTCTCGGGTTTGAGATCCCGATGCATTACGCCATGCTTGTGACACATCTAAACCACAGAGAAAAGTGGTAAGTAACACAAAGAAACTGCAAAACTTAATCATAAACAAACTCATAACTCACTTTGATTTAAACTAGTAGGCAAAATAATCAAAACTCTAGTTGGGTAAAAGGGAATTGGGGACAATTGTCTGTCAAAACTAGATGACCCAGAGTTATTTGCTAATAGAGAAAACTCAATCTCCCTATGGAATAATTATACACTAAATGTTCTAAAACTTAAAAGTCATTCAATCACTGTAAATTCTAACCAATTTGAGACAAAACAGACCACATAACTTAACCCCTGTTCTTTTCTTCTATAAATGATGGAACAGAGCAAAAAACAAAGTCAAAACTCTACCTCAAGTTCCTCAGCTATGAATTATGATCATCATTTTCATCTCTAGATCATATCAAAACAGTCTTCAAAACCAACCCACATATTTCAATAAGATATCTAATCAGGTGGGTGGAAGCTCAAGTTAAATCCCCAAATTCTCAACCAGATTGACCCAAAATTTCAGTGCAAAAAGAATCCAAAGACAGAGAAAATCCATCATTACCTGAACAACTTCAACAATGGTTTTCGTGACAACAGCAGCAGCGCGTTCTGTGTAGTGACCTCTGGCCACAATCCGATCGAACAACTCGCCGCCCTCGCAGAGCTCCATGACCAAATGAACGCCGCTGTCGTCTTCATACGTATCCTTCAAGCTCACAATATTCAGATGCTTCGGCAAATGCCTCATAATCTGAACCTCCCGCCGGACATCCTCAACATCCACGGCGGTCCTCAGCTTCTTCTTGGAAATCGATTTGCAGGCGAACTTCTCTCCGGTGATCTTATCGGTGCAGAGGTGCGTGATTCCGAACTCCCCCCGCCCGAGCTCGCGACCCAGCTCGTATTGTAGCCCAATTTCGCGGCCCGTGGGGCTGCTCAATACGGTGAGCTTCTTTCCTCCGCCGTGGTTGACCCCGTAATCGATCGAAAATGGATTCGGCTTCGTCTTCTTCTTCTTCCCCTTGTTGTGCTCCTGAGGGTCCCGCGGCGGGGCGACACAGCAATTCCCCATGAATCAAGGACGATCCTGAAGAAATTGGACGAAATTAAATAATGGGTATTCGAAATTGAAGATCCGGATTGAAGATTGCAAGGGATGGAGGCGGAATTGGAGCAAAATGGTTAAAGGGGGGACGAAAATCCAGATGGGTAAGGGGGAAAGGGGTAAGCAAAATGGGAAGAAGAAGAAGAAGGGATTTTTTGGGGCGATCAAAATTGGGGGAAGAAGAAAAAGCTGAGAAATGGAAGAAGGGAAAGATGGCAGTTATAAGGGAAGGTGTGAAATAAACAGAAGAAGAAAGAGGAATTTAGCGTGTGCAAAATGGAAGCCACCATGGATTATGGAACATTTCTCAGAGCCTTCCCTCCCAATATAATCTCATCTCATCTCTCTACAAAAAAAATTTAAAATAAGCCAACTATTATTATCCCAATTATATCTCATAGGGGCAATTTCGTAAAAGTATAGATAAAAGATTAAATTTACTTTATTGTTACCTATCAATTTATGTCATATTTGGTAACGTTTTGTTTCTGTTTTTTAATTTTTAATAAACAAAATGAATTGTATGGTCTCAATATCCATGAATTCAAGTATCATTAAATAATCTTTTTATTTATGTTTTACAATAAATTGAAAATTGAAACAAGAAAGAAGAAACATTGAACATGTTTTAATTATTTCCAAAATTTCTATACAATTTTGAGAAATTTCTAAGAAAAATGAGAAACAAGAAATATAGACAACTTCCAAATGCTTAAATTTTTTAATAAATTTGAAAACGGGAACAATAAACAGGAACGTTACCGCTTTCTAACCAACATAGACAACTTCCAAATACTTATTGTTTCTTGTTTTTCAATTCTAATTTTTTTAAAAACATATAAGCATTTAGTAATTGTTTTTATTTCACATTTCTCATTTATAATAAACGTTTCTAAAATTATGTAAAAATTTTTAAGACAGCAAAATCAAGTTTATTGTTTCTTATTCTCGTTTCTAATTTTTTCCAAAATATAAATAGAAATATTATTTTATCATTGACTTATTATGAAAGTTGTAATAAATATTAAAGACTGATGAATATAACATAAAAAATTTAGTATTTAACTTAAAAATAATATTTTTTATATAAAAAGTTACTCTTTTAATTTAAAATTCTAGAGTATGAGACATATGAAATAATTTCAAATATCTTTCTATTTCTTTTTTTATTAGAAAAAATAGAACAAGAAACAATTACCCTGCAATTTTGTTTTTATTTATTTAAAAAAAACAAGAACCAAGAATATTAGTTCCTTCAAATTTTAGGTTATATGGTAATTTAACATGATATCAAAATAAAAGATCAAAGTCGAGTCTTATTTCCTCTTTTTTAAATTTAATGTTAGTAACCACATGTATACAGCGTGGTATAAATTTTCGAATCCACAAGTGAGAGAGTATAAAAGTATTGTTAAAAGATTAAACTTGTCTTATTGTAACCTCGTCAACTTCACATAGTTTACCTGCATATCGACTAATCTCACAAGACAAATCGACGACCCTATAACATTTGGTGGTTACGAAACTTGTATGATTTTAACATCTAAATTAAGTAGTGACAGTTCTAGGGTTTTAACCCATCACCTCAATTATTTCCATTACCTCTATTTTCCTTTTTGATAGAAAAAGGTTAAAATTATCAAATTGGTCACCAAACTTTAATGATTTTGTTTAATTAGTTACTTTAAAAAATAATTATGATCTTTTAAAACTAGCCTTTCTTGATCGATCACAAATTCTGGGTCCCGTTGTTTGGCTTCCACTCCAGTTGACCGACAAGACATATTTTGAATAATTTGGACAAAATACTACAAATAGAATCACAAAAGAAAGTAGATAATTGGATAATTGGATAGTATAAAATACTAAGCACATATTCTACCCAAGGTTTCCAATATCGATGTTGACGAAAATGTCGAAGTCTCAAATTAATGGAAATGTCGATGTTGATAAATGTTTATGAAAATACTATTAAAATAAATACTAAAAAATATTTAAATCAACAAATAATCACTTCACTCTTTCTAAATAAGGTCAAAATAATTAATATTTATATTAGTGATATTATACCTATATATTTTATATTTTTGTCATTTTTTTTTAATATTATGAAAATATCGATTTACCTCTCATGTTGATATCGACTTCATAAATACATAAAAATGTCAATAGAAAAGTCGACATGGTGACGAATATTTAATACCTTAATTCTACTATTATATACCTTCTATTTTAGGAAGCATGGAAAAAAGAATTTAGAGATCTATCCCTTCTACCATCTACAATGTTTGAGAAAATTTGTCAATATTTATTTCATTATTTAATTATTAAAGATATTAACAGTAAGGTTTACGTAGAATTTTAATTTAAAATCCATAGACATAATTAAAATTTTAAAACATAGGAATAGGGACAAAATTTTGTAATTTAACCTAAATAAATAAAAAAAAGGAATTGTCAACTTAATAGCCTCTCTAACATATATTATTAAAAAAATAGTACCTGCACCTTAAAATATATATATATTATTCTCATTTCTAATATAGAATTTTTTTTATTTAAAAAATAGTTAGTATCATTTGGATTTTCTAATTTAATAAACATTGTCCTTAGTTCTCACATATTTATGCATTTAAACATGTTGGATTCTATGATGATATTTTAACACTAGCATCTTATCTTCTCTTTTTTTTTTTTTTAATAAAAATTCAATTTTGGTGGCTTAATCTTTTCTTTTTTATTTAAATTTCTAAACTTTCAACAATTTTTTTTCATTCCTTATATACTTTCATTCATTTACTTTAGTTTATGAACCTTATTTTTTAAAAAATATATTTTTTAATCATTATTATTATGAATTTTGGTTTAACCCGACACTTGACCCATTATATATAGTTTCAAATACGTACACAATTAGATATTGAAATTCCAAATACATGGACCAGAATACATGTCACAGGTAAAGTTTCCATCTGGTGAGTTATGAAAACTTAATGAAAAAGACTAAAATAAAAGTCTAGAGTCTAAAGTCAATCTAAACATAGTTCAACTAATCAAGACACCTATTTGCGACTAAAGAGTCGTGAGTTCAAATCGTCGTCCATACATGTTGTACTAAAAAAACAAAAGTCTAGAGTCTAAAATAAAATATTAGAAAGTTTAAAGACTAATTTTTTTATGACAAAAATATTATTAGAGATCGTAGATTCTTGTTCATGATATGATTTAGGAATGACATTCACAATTGAAATGCAGTAGTTGGGAGAAATTATTTGAATGAACTAAAATACAAAAGTAGCATTTTCAAATATTTTTCTACCATATTATTTGATGCGCCTAAGTTTAAATAAACTACAAGCACGCCTTTATTCAATCATATTCGATTTTTTTTGTAAAAATAATTTTTTAACACCATACAACTTGATCCTCGATATAAAATATGCTATTTGAACTCACAATTTTTTAGTCGGAATTGAGTGTCTTAACCCATTTAACTACAGTTATATTCATACTTAAACTTGGTTATATCCTATATTCACCACTTAATTACTTGATCATTAAAATCATTTCCACAAACAGCACAAGAGTGTTACTTAAGTACTAAAAGAAATTGATTAGACAAATGTTTAATTAATAGTAAAATTTCCAACAACTACCAAACCTCATGAAAATTTGAAGTTTGTTTCTTTGTGCAAAAGCAATCATTAGTCATCCATCATATTGGTAGATTTTTGTAGTTTTCTTTTAGGTCATGCTTCACTTGGAAGAAAAGATGATAGCTTTTACATGTGTGTTCATATTGAATTATATTAGTCAAAATTGCTTTCATTATAAATCATAAACAAAACCCACATCATTTTGGCAACAATCTCCACATGGGTCAAGTTTTTATGAAGCATCATCATAAAACCAAAGGAAATAATCTCATGATTCCTTTTCTTTTTCTTTTTTCTTTTTTTTTAATTTGATTATGAGGAGCTATGATGAATAATTTTCCTACTTTATATTAAGCTTATAGAATAAGTTTTATATTCCCAAGAAACTCTTTTGCAATTTTCCATTCAATAGTACCTTTATTATTATTAAAGAGTTAATTTGATTAATCATATTTTGTTGAGGATAACGGTATCTCAGATAGCTTCACAATAATATGATATTGTTCGTTTTGGACATAATTTTCACACCTTTATTTTTGGTTTTACTCAAAACGCCTCGTACGAATGGAGATAATTGTCCTCATTTATATAATCTTTCTATTATTTAGTCTATGAAGAAGTTTTGTCGGATTCCCCAACCTATTTAAAATTTTATTTGATGCATTTGAAAGAATTTAATTGTACTCACTTTTGATAAAATTAAAAATAAAATTAATTGATTTTAAATGGTACATATCATGATTTTTTTTCAAAACTATTTCAGAGCTACATTCTGATTGATTAATGTATATGAATTGAATACAAAATAAATCACGTGAACCTGAGCCTAATTCAACTAGTATCGTGAGTTTGAATCTTTATCCCAGATGTTCTAATAAGAATTTAAAAAGTAAAAAACAAAACGAAGGACTATTTTTAGGTATTGTTTAATAGAAGGGTTATTCAGACACAATCTTATACATTGGTTCCATAGCTTGGGTCGCTTGGACATCAAGAAATATTTTTTAGGTCTTGAGTTCGAGTCAAACACTGTACATACTAGGGGTATAAAGGTCAAAGGGCCGCCGATTATTGGTAATAAAAAAACACAATCTTTTACACTACCAAGTTCACAGGTCCAATTTTGTATAAATATATATTTTTTAATAGAGTTTATTATAAGTAGGTTAGTGAGATTGAATGTTAAACGAAAATCTTAAATCAATTAAATTTTGTTAAATTCTAAATTGATTGTACTCTCTCTTCTACTTAATGATCAAAGTTTAAATTTCAATTTATTTTTAATATAACCCTTTTAATTAAAGTCAACTCACATGAATGTGCCACCATTCCATAAAAGCTTATTCTCTCGAGAACCATTCAATGCAATTTAATAATCTTTTTATCTCAATAGTCTAGAAGATATTAGAAACATATTACATAAAATAGAACAATATTAACCATATATTTTTTCTAGTACAATATGTTGGGAAGGAGATTCGAACCCACAACCTTTTAGTTGAAGATAAAACAATGTTTCAGCGCTCGTGGTTTAACACCTATTTTTATTTTTATGTTTATCATTACTAAAATTTGACAGTTTCTTTTATTTTTTTTTAATAAAAAGCTATCTTTTTTTTAATATATATTTTCTATTTTATTTGTTAAAATTTTAATGGTGATAAAAAAAATAAAAA